CCGAGGTACTTAAAGCCCTCAAGTACTTCCAGCTGATCACCACAGAGGGTGAGTGCAGGCGCAGGCTCTTGCCAGTCTTGAACAGGCATTTTGCACTTTGGTGATGCACAGGACACGCTGTCTCTGGATATCTCGATCACCAAGCGGTTTAAAGCGTCTTGGACTGCCTGTGTGTTGTCACCAGACAAAGCGATGTCATCGGTATATTCTAAGTCAATAACTCTTCTCCCTGGGAGGAGTTCAACCCCACCGTTTGCTAGACCGGACGAAGCGTTCTGCAGAACATCCTCTATGACAAAGTTGAAAAGGAATGGGGATAAAGGGCAACCTTGTCGAACTCCACTCGAGACGGCGAAGGGTGGCGAAAGCTGGCCGTAGGCCCTTACCCAACCTGAGGTATAATGATACAACTCTTTGAGGATCGACACATACTTCTCGGATACTTCATTCCTCAACAAACAGTTCCATATTGCGGCCCTATCAACAGAGTCGAAGGCCAAGCTTATATGTAAGAATACAATGACCGTTGGTCTTTGATAGGCATGACGGTGCTCTAACAGCTGTCGGAGAATGAGGATTTGATCGATGCATCCACGACCGGCGCGAAACCCAGCCTGCTCTTCGAGGGTCTGCTCTTCACGCATAGCGTACAATCGGCGGAGAATGACGGATGCCAACAGCTTTGACGTTAGGTAATATAATATGCTGTTACTCACATAAGCTTTCCCTGACCATAGTGATCATCGTTAAAACAAGAGAAGGTTAGAGGATTACCGTTGAAAAGTGTTGCAGAACTGCAACGAACAACACTGCGGGATCGTGTGAAGCGAGAATTTCGGGATGAGATAAAAGACACTCACTCGATTGATAATTGGGAACACTACATAGAAAGATAGCGAAACTATGAAATTCCAAATTCTACTTGTTTAGTAAACAACGGTTCAAAATGGAGGGAGGGGAGCCTGCAATACAGAATGTGACCGAAGTTAGAGTCATTTTGATTGAGGTAAACGACCGGACTAAGTGAAACAAAGTTAAGTATAACTCATCAGTAGGTGGTGTTGATTTCATCTGCTCATAGTGATTTCAAATTCATATATTCCATCGTTTCGGAGTGTTCCCCGGGTGTGTTTAATGCAAAACGCAGTCCGCATTTCAGTATCTGGCGGTAAGAGCTTACTGACAGTATCCGCATGAAAGGGGGTTACCACTGAATAAAACCACCGAGAAAAATCAATCGACTTTATATACTCCAATTAAATTACGCACTGAGCACAGTTATTTAAAATACTGCTTTAATCAAGGACAGTACGTTTCTCTTGTGAAGATGCCCACCAGGATGTGAATAAAGTGGTATACAGAAACAAGTAGACAATACAGCAGTACGGTATCGCAGATCATATTACTGTAAAAATTCCTTCTAGCACATACTACGGTCAAGATTAAAACCCCGGGTTGGAGTACTGTTTTGACCGATCAAATGACTGAAGCGTCCACCTGGTTGCACTTTGAGTTCAATCATTGCCCACACAAGTGTTTGACAGAAATCTGTTTATTTGCGCTTTGTTCTCACTTTTGCTGTACAAGCACCATCCGAAAAGAGCGCAGCGGTTGATTGAAGACTATCAAATTACACATGGGAATTTGAGTTGATGATTTAAGCTCAAAAACTGCAGGACGGCCAATATTGCTCGATCATCGTGACCCTGAAGAAAACAATAATCAAAAGATCTCCCGCGAACAAACCTACGCATTGAGAGAGAGCTCGAATATGGCTCATCACAGAATTTAATCAACCAGAATGCAAGGAGAATCCTATCACATGGGACCAGGGCGTTCGCGATTATCACTGTATCGTGAACAAAATGAAATTATCGAGAATATATCTCTGCCTGTTTTGCGTGTTTTTGGATGAGATCGTATCTTTGTTGCTCAGATTCACAGAGTCGATCGGCTTCTGTTCCTTATCGGTAATTTCCTACTTTTTTGAAATGAATTGAGTGCATTCCCCCCTGACATTCACATTTTCACTAGAATCATCATCTCTAAATTTCGTTTGTAGCGAACATTTTCTTCAACTAGTATTTGGAACTCTTTGGGATTGGTAGCGATCAAACCGATAAAATAGTTATTTTTAATTAGCCAATGCTTTCCAATAGTGGGGCACTTGTTCACACTTATTTGATGAATAGTTTTCAGGAATAGGTTTAACAACAAAATGTGCACATGAAAAAAAACACAGTAGTATGCTTTAGTATATCTGTAAGAAAAAGATCCCTCATGTTTTTCTGTAAATATTTGAGTCCCCATTTGAAGTCCACATAGGAGCGTTTTTTAGCTATACAATCTGAGATAGCTTCAGAATTTCATCTTCAAAACGTTTTTTAGTTAAAAATGAAAAGGCTTCTAGTGGCACGTCTTCTAATTGCAGCTCTGCAAAATGGGAATATCATGTATTGCCAAGGGAACATAGATCAATCACGTGATCATACCTGCAAACAGTTCCAGCCATCTTTATTGGTGAACGTGGGATCTGCACCGCGACTGAGCAAAATACGCGCACATTCAATATAGGAGATGTCCGACTGATTTGTGGCACTCATTCGACCGGGGTTCACACATGCAAGCATCAGCGAAGTCCAATCAGCTCGTTTTAGAAAATTGATCGGAACTTGGGCTGCATCGACCGGAAATGCAACATATCCCGTTTGACTAGTTTGAGCGGCTTCGTGCAGCGGTTGCTTCCAGTGATAATTCGACATGGTCTGCGTGTGCTTGTTTCAGAAGAGTTACGTGTCCGTCCCGGGCGGCAACGTGGATGGGTGTCTCCCTGCCCAGAAGAATGCGGTTGTCTCCATTCCCATATTGGTTTCCGCAGTTCGTGCGAGGACAAACGGGTCACCATATCAATGGCCACTCGAGGACTGTGGTTCTCGGTCGCAAAAAACACTTACTTCACGAGTGACCAATCCAACTCCTTTTATTTGCGCACAGGAACGCAAGAGATAAGGGGATGAGACAAACGGTTGACCACAACCAGAGATATCGAATGCAAGTGATGGTTATTCGTTGGAAGAAAGACAATCGGGTGTTATTTTATCAGTTATTTCATAAATAACTATAATTGTTGCTATTGCTCGCATTTTACATATTGGAACGCATTATCCCAAATCGTCCACAACTTCTAAATGGCTTCACTCGAAGAACTGAAGGGTGATCGGAACATAAAATTTCAGAGTAGATCAGTTTGTTTCCTCTCCGTCCGTACGGTCAAGCTTCCCATCGTATAAAACAAGAGGACTTGTGTTCAAATTAAACCAACTGCATATCAAATTTTTCAACTTTGATTAGTTTCTAGGTAACTTCTTTATCGATCGCAGTTTGACTTCCAAAACAGTGCGTATACAAAACACAGACAAGGAAGTAAATGGTTCACATTGGTATTCCATTCATGTCCAAACAAAGAAATCCTAAATCACTGACAGAATTCCATTGCCTAATTATTGGGTCCAAACTTGACCCATTTTTTACCTTCATCTAGTCAGGTGTTTACTACATACCAAGGATCCTGTACACTGGAAGAAATGGAACTTCAAACCAGTTGGGAAACAAGAGTGCACCATAGGCTTTACTTGTAAACACGGAGTGATTAACCAATAATCACGGCAAGTTCCTTCATTGTCTGTAACAACAAAATGGAGCATTTCAGCTGATGAAAGTTTCACTTCAATCCTCATCGTGAAATCACCACCACTACCACGATGACCACGACTACCACTGTCATCAGCCTCACCACGCATTCATAAACGGATTGAACTTGTGCATAGAACCACTCACAGTGTATCATGTTTCCTTACACAATTGATAAACAGTAGAAGGAGAGATCGTGAGAACCTTCTGTTCATTATTGGGAAGGGGCCATCTGATCCCCGGGAATCGGAGTGGTGAAATGTACGCGGCCCCACTAGCAAAAACATGATTTCGAGCCGAAAGACAGCATATCTGTTTACCGCCAAGGCAGTAAGCAAATACGATCACTGTATTGCGGGTGAATGGTCTTGTTTAAACAAACTATTCAGTTAATTGTACCATAATACAGACATTGCTATCAGAAAATAATTTCCAAAAATAAGCTCACACATTAATCCGGTTTATGTATGACTGGGATCAAAAAGTGCTCACTTTCGACCTACTGTTGATTTTGATTTGTCCGCATATTTTGTCAATCTCCTGCTTTCGTGATTCTCTATTGTCCCGTCTATCTGATGATGCAACTGAGTGCAAAAGTATTTTATTTCTTAGGCAATAATAATCGAGTTTTTTAGGTTACCGTCGCCGACACGCAGCGATCCAGAAAATCTGAGGTTTGGATTCAGCTACTGGCACTGAACTTTGTTAGAAGGCGACTTTATTTCCACCAGGCTCAGTATCTCATCTAGAGTATTTGAAATTTTACGGCCTGCTATTGAAACTCCCGGGGCTTAGGTTGCCGGTTTGCATAACTGAGCATGAGATCACCAAAACCATGGAATTCAACTTTTTTATTAGTCATTAAATTAAACTGTAGCATGATGTTAACTTCAATGGTAAGTGAAAAATACGGGCAAAACATGAGGTATACGTCGTCTGACGAATATTAGATTGTCAAAAAGCATGTCCCGTTGTATGTGTACAGTTAGCGAAACATGCGAGGTTCGTCACTTTTTTACCCAACATGAACAATGCAATCTTCATCAATAAGTATCTGAAAAATGGGGTGGAGATTTCGGAGTAAGGAAAAGGAGTAGGGAAATGAGTATTGCGAGACGATCCTGTATTTTTTTAAGTGGAATCTTTTTCTCTTAAATGAAGATTTTAAGAAACGGAGGGGGGGGGGCAGTTTAAACAGTGTGAAAAAAGCACGAGTTTAAAACCCAGGTTTCACGGAACCGTGAGTTGATTTTAATCGGAGAGTGTTGAATGGACCTGGAGAAAGCAAGCTTGGAGATCAGACTAAAGGTAGTCTATTGAAGATAATTGACAGAAGGACTGGGAGATTCGACAAAGCTGAATACAGAGGTCCAGTTTAGAGACTAAGCGGAACATCGCCACAAAATGGTTGATCATAAGCAAGGAGGAATAGGGCAAGGACCAATTATCTGCTTGGTGAATCAAATATCCAAACCAATAGGCTACCTATTCCGGAGGATGTTCGATCACACTGCAATTTTACCGTCATGGAAGCACGGAGTAATTTCACCCATTTACAAAGGCGGTTGCTGCAGCGATCCCGCTAACTGCCGCCCTGTTATTATCCTCGTTCCAGTTTTGTCAAAATTCATGGAGTCCCTATTAGCAGAATCCCTGATGGAACACCTAGAGAAGCACAACGTTCTGTCACCAAGTCAACATGGAATACGATAGAACCGATCCTGCGTTACCAATTTGCTCATCATATGCGGGTGACGCCAAAATTTGGCATACAGTTACACTACCAGCGGGCTCCCTGGCACTCCAGGAAAAGTTGAAAGTAGCTCATCTCCGGTCTCTTTTGGACGATATTGAATTCAATGTGCCAAAGTGTAAGGTTCTATCTCTACAATAGAAGAGACATTTTTCGTATTTCCTCGAAAAAACTACCAAACGCCTTAAGCGAGAATGACCTGGGCATCATCACTCAAGAAAACTTAAGCTGCTCACTTAACTGCACCAAGGAAGCGAATGCAGCTGTAACGGTAGTCGATTTGCTTAAGCCTGTCTTTGACCGGTTTGATACAGTGCTTTTCTCCCGTCTTCTATCAACATACATTGGCCCAATCACAGAGTACACTATCCAGGCATGGAATTCATGGCTGCAACGTGACTGCACTAATGGTGAACCGTCCACAAAGGATGGCCACCAAAATGGTTAAGGGATTGAATCGCTATTCATGCGCAAAGAGATCGGAGTCTTTAGGGTTATAGTCAAATTACTACGGGCGCATCAGGGAAGACATGATTATGGTATACCAAATCATGTAAAACCCAAGCCATCTGTGTCGATCGCTGGTAAAATTATCACCAGACCTTCATCTTAGAGGACATCCGGCCAAGTTAGTGATCTCAAAATGCCGATTGGAATGCCGGCGTCAGTCATCCGCAGTCAAAGTGTGTTTGGTTTGGAACTCTCTCCCATCCCATATCGTCTGTGCGTCACGCGTTGAAGCTTTCAAACAGAATTGATGAAGCATTAGCACTCCTTACATTCCAACATAAGTGAAGTTCGTGCAACAGTAGAAGAAGCTCGTATCATGTGACATTTTTATACAAAGAATTGTATGTATCACTGTCTTTTAACCACAAAGCGACCCTATAGAACGAGGAAAGCATGAGCTTATTCCCATAAGCTTCTTCTCAAAGCACCTAGGATATCATGATCCTGGCCGGGGGCCTAAATGCATGCGTTGGTCATCTATAACACGACGAGACCCACCTTGGTGGCCGTCATGGCCTCGATAGCTGTCGTTCAGATAAAGGGGATAGACTTCTTAGCATATGATCAGAAGACGGTGTGTTTCTCGCTAGCACGAACTTCAGACATGCTAAGCGTCNCCTCGCCACCTGGCGTAACCCCTCTTCAGCACAGACGTGGAGTCAGATTTACCACATAGCTATTAGCTATAGGTGAAGAGGATCCGTGAAAGACTGCCATTCCTATTGGTCTACCTGCTTGGACNCGCAAGAAGATGCGATGCAAACAGCTTGACGTCGCCAAGCTCTCTGACCCGACCGTACTAGCCGATGAGTAAAACGAGTTGGCCGCAAGACTAACAAATACCCCACCAAGTAGCGTAGATCAACTCTGGACAACCATTCAAAACGCAATGCATTTAGCCGGTTTACACAGTTGGGGCCTAACCCACCGAGTTGTAAACCACTTGGTCTCATCCAACTCTATCAGACTCCTCGACGCACGTCGAGCAATCCCGGCAGACAGCGAGTACAGTGAACAGCGCCTCTCCATAAAGCTTGAACTCACAAAGAGTTTGAGAGACGACCGAGACGCCTGGTGGGCTCTACGTGCATAGGAAATGGAATCAGCAGAAAGGTGTGGAAACATCCAGCAACTATTCCAGCTCATCCGTCTTACAAGCCCCAAAAGACCGTGCGTTAGTGAAACAATCTACGAAGTAGACGGCACCCTAATAAACAGCCTGCATCGACGGTTGGAATGCTGGGCGGAGCACTTCACATCGCAGTTCAACCATCCCCCAGCGCTAGCAGCCTCAAGCAGTTCTTTTGAGAGTGCAGCATGGTCACCATTCACGGGACCACCCGAAGAAGCGGAGATCGGAAAGGAACTCCGAGCGCTGAAATGCCACAAGGCAGCTGGATCAGACGGCCTGCCACCTGTCCTGTTTAAAGATGGTGGAGAAGCTCTCATAAGAGAAGTTCGGAGATTGTTCTCGAATATCTGGGAAACTGAAAGTATACCCCACACATGGGGGGAATCGATTGTCACGCCCATCTACAAGAAGGGCTGCCGCAACGCCTGTTTCAACCACAGGGGCATAAGTTTGATTCCAATAGCGCCGAAGCTGCTGGCGTCCGTTTTATTACGCAGGTTATACCCATCTCGTGGGAATTAAATCCACAAGGAACAGGCCGGGTGTTGTGCACGCCGTGGATGCATAGATCAAATCTTCACCCTCCGTCAACCACTAGAACACCACCACACACAGATAGCTAACCACCAGAGCCTTCGACTCTATTGATCGTCCCGCACTGTGGAACTGTTTGCGGA